TGCCCCATTGTTTTTGAAGAGAAAAAGCTTGATCAAGAGGTTTTGTTCTAGTCTGATATTCCCACAGACGGCGCCAATTGTACAGGCACAAAATATTCTTCCTGTATAATCCTGTTGATCAAGTCTGCGTACCTCCGTACGTCGTCGCTTTACTCCCTGAAAACACAAACGTGAGCTAGCCGACGGGCGTGTGCCGAATACCTCTCCGATGCCTAAGTCAGCAAAATAGACAAAGACAAAAAGCTCTGTGTATTCGAGAATCAAAGTTATGTTACCTCTCCATAGGTGATGTTTGTGAGCTTTTGTAGGTTCCGTGTGGCATAATCCTAGTAGGACTTTTACTCCCCCATGTAGAGTCCTCCTAGGATTCACTCTCCTGAAAGATAATGCTTATCCTTCAACACCCCCCTCACTGCTTAAACCAAGTGAGATGGTCTTACCATGGCCGGACTCCAACATGACCGAGGTAAGCATGGCTATGCTAAGCCGTAGACTAGACTGAGATAACTCTGCCTCAGTTCTTCCATTCACTGCTCCTACCACGGTTTTCCCAGTGCTGACCATAGTAATGCTTAGATAGTGCTAACCATTAGCTAGGTCCGACAGAGCTAGCTGCGCTATACCGTGACCGTACTAACTCTGAGTGCGGCAACCTGGCGACCGAGCTATCCGTAGTACTCTCCTGGACCAAGATAACAATAGGCTTTCAGGGACCGGACTAACTTTAGGGCCGTCTGGGACCGAACTAACTTCATGGTTCAGGGACCGGACTAATTATCAAGTCTTTTTACTTGGTCTGGCGGCAAGAGCCTTACTTTGGACCGAGCTAACACTTGACCGTTGCCCATCTCCCAAGCCTCTTCATTACGGCCCAAAGAGCGACCCATTGTCCAGCTCGGCCCAATTTACATATAAATTACCCTCTCATTTAGTTATTTATCATTTCATCAAATGATGAATTGACATTTATAAATAGACTTGATTAATGAGTATTAGTAATATTATCCGAATAATAAAATACGGGGCATGACACATGCACATGAAGAGCACTGTTATATGCACGTAACATTGTTGTGAAAAAAGAAAGAAAATATATTAAATCATGACCGCTACATATCATTACAACAAACAAAAATTTCTAAGTTTTTTAAAATATATATATACAAAGAAAGTAGGAATAGTCCAAACAAATGCCATCGCATTTTCTCTTTTATATAAGAGAATATGCAACGTTTTGCACGGTACTGCATGGTGTAAGACAGAAAGGAACATAAGGTTGATAATAAAGATTAAAAAAAAATATATTTTTTTTTTTAGAAAAATATAAATTGATCAACTTTCTAATATAAGATAAGTACACCCTTTTTTGTGGTTCCATACTGTACGAGTACGAAATAATATTCTCGTATAATCTTGATGATCAAGTTTGTGCTCCTCCGAACATCATTGCTTTATTCCCTGAAAACACAAACGTGAGGTAGCCGGCGGGTGTGTACCAGATACCTCTCCGATGCCTAAGTCAGCCAAAGGACAATAGACAGAAGCTCCATGTATTTGAGAGTCAAAATTGTGATATCTGTACATAGGTCCTGTTATGAGCTTTTGTAGATTCCGAGTGGCACAATCCTAGTAGGACTCTTATTCTCCAATGTAGAATCCTCCTAGGAAACAGAAAGGTAATGCTCATCTTTCTACACCCCCTTACTGCTTAACCAAGTGAGATGGTTTTACTACGGCTAAATGAAAGCACAACTGAGCTAACACCTCTGACACATTTAGCTCGGTGCTTCTACAAGCAGTAGCTAGCTCGATCAACGCCCATTTATGTCAGTTTGGGATACCCCGACCGTGCTACTTGCAGCTATCTTTGACCGAGCTAAAAAGGTTAAGCTCCAAGCTACGAAGCCCATTCACCTCGGCCCATAGATCAGTCCCTCACTACACCTGGACCTAGCTCGACCCATAGCTCGGTCCCTCACTACACAATATTTTAGCTCGGTCCTAATTCACATAAAAACTCCCTCTCAATTGCCCCTTAATGTCATTTGCAGCGCATGATTTGGGATTATTCTTCTTCAGCTGAGCTAAAGGTCCAAAACCGACCGAGCTAAAACAAGTAGTCCCACCGAGTTCATGTTCTACTGAGCTACCGATTAGTCCGGTTCATAAATGTCTTTTCAATCGCTCTGTACTTTTGAATCGTTTTCTATTCCCTTGTGTAACAACCCCAACCTATGATTAACATTAATCCGTGATTAATTATGCCTAATTAGCAATTAAGGTGGAATTCTAAATTAAACTGCATGTGTGTGATGCATTGCTTGTGTCTATATCTGTTAGGCGTAGAAAAATATGTTCATGTTTAAGTTTCGATTTGCGAATTGAAAACTTTATCGGCGTCCGAATCAGAAATTGGCTTGATTTATGTGCTAATTAGGATTTATGGAATTTTATGGTAGGGTTAATTAAAATTCGGTTCGGAACGATTAAATTTGATTAAAATAATGCCAGCTGAAGAAGCCGGAGAAAAGCTTGGTGCTACTGATGATCCTGCTGCTGTCATAGATGCGTCCCTTTCCAAGTCCAATCAAGAGCACTTGAGGTATTTGGTTTGAGTAATGTTACATTGACCGTGTTGTTATACCAGCTTATTTGTCACAGTGATGATATGTGATGTGTCATCACTGTATGACAAATAAGATAATGTAACATGGTGATTGTAGTATTACTTATTTGGGTTTACTAGAAAATGAGTTTCTTGAGAAGTCGATTGTCTCTGTTGCTTTTGCCAGTGACCAAGCTTGTGAATAGTGTTGAAGGATCAAGCAGTGTGGTCAGCATGTGTGATATGTCATCACTGTATGACAAATAAGATAATATAACATGGTGATTGTAGTATTTACTTATTTGGTTTTACTAGAAAACGAGTTTCTTGAGAAGTCGATTGTCTCTGTTGCTTATGCCAGTGACCAAGCTTGTGAATGGTCTTGAAGGATCAAGCAGTGCTGTCAGCAATGATGACTATGTAACGTCCCAACTTTTGGGCCGTTAATAAATTAAATAAATCTTAAATTTATAATTCCAAATAACTAATTGTTGGAATGTGTCTCACATTGTCTGGAGTTGCCCTATCTGTGTTGGTTATAGGACTCCAGTTTTCCTTTCCTTAATACTTGGGTTTTAAGGAGAAGTGTTGGATGGGTTTTCTAATTTGGTATCAGAGCTTGGTTGGCTTTGTGACTGGTATGCCGTTTGTTCGGCTACTGTATGTTGTGGTTTAGGATGGTGTGTTGGAATGCGTCCCACATCGCCCCCTAGAGGTGCCCCATTTGTGCTGGTTATAAGGCTTTCGTTTCTCTCTCCTTAATACCTAGGTTTTAAGAAGAAGTGTGGATTAGACTTTTCAATTCTAATCAAGGTTTGTTGGAATGGTTATAAGGCTTCAGTTTTCCTATTCTTAATACCTAAGTTTTAAGGAAAAGTGTGGACTATTGTTTACGGCTTCATAAAATTGAAACCAAATCAATCCATTTAAATCATGGAATCAATCCAATCCGAATCAAACTATTTAAACGCGGTTGTTCATAAAGAAAAATCATATAACATTTTTTATTTCAACATTAATTTACCAATGATTTTTTGAAACATAAACATGCATATTATTCTACTATTAACTTAAACAAACAAATATATAAGAGGGTAGGATTTTATGCATCAGCTATATGGTATATATGTGGTTTAAGTTACATACGGATTCAAAAATTCAGTCCAAATCTACTGGATTGGACTGGACCGGTTCAGATTGTGAATTTTTTAGATTCCTTGCTCAGTGTTAATACAAATTGTCTCAAAAAAATAATATAGACAATTGTCTCCGAAAATAATTTATTGTGGTGGTCCCGAAGTTCTAACTCAAATAATCCCTTAGTACTGCAAATCTGGTCGCGACTAATGCTCTGCACTTGAAAAATAAATTAATTCGGGAAGTATACAATAAGAGAGAATGAAAAGGCTCGGATAGAAAATAAATCAACAGTAATCCATTAATTTACGACATTGCACAAATGATTCGATTTGAGACTATCAAGCAATTTATCAAATTGTACAAACAAATCAACTCAACATATGACAATTTGTCCAGGACTAAATACCCAGTCCTACTCAATATATGATCAGTGACTGACCTCACTCACTCTCATCCAAAAACAACCACTTATCCGGATATATTGGTTCAGACAATATTAGTAAGGTCTATTCGATCTATGTATAGACCATTTTCACGTCATTTAGTCAGACAAATTAACATCGTCAATACAGAATAATTTCACAGAATTTTATCAAATATTCAAAATAATCAAACGTATCAAACATAGAATGATTTCATAATATTTTATAGATTTTATTAAGTGGCTAGTATAACAAACGGAGTACAAATTACAAGTAACTAAAACAAAACTCTTTGCAAAGAAATTTAGAAGAAGTATATTGTATACCCACTCGAATTACCTCTAATCAATTTCCTCCATATCCTACACTTTAATCTGCTGATATTCACCATAAATCTCCAAAGGTAATTGATCAAAATTCTAAAGCATAATGTATCTAAGGATTGACAAAATTTACAATTCTCCTCTTTGTAAAATTGCTAACTCTCATTCTAAGCCCTTCCAATCTAAACTCTAAATTTACATCACAATTAGAGAGATAGAGATACGAATGGACTAAGAAGAAGAATAGAAAAAAAGCTCAATTTATAGAGAAAGAAATGGGGAGGGGTAGAAAATAATAATAATAATAAAAAAAAAAACCAAAAAATTTTTTTTTTTGAAAAGAATGAAAAAATGAAAAGACAAGAAATGGAGGGTTAAGGCATGGCATGGTATGGTATGGTATATGGTATATACCATGTATAGAGAGATAGAGATACGAATGGACTAAGAAGAAGCTCAATTTATAGAGAAAGAAACGGGGAGGGGTAGAAAATAATAATAATAATAATAATAAACCAAAAAAAAAAAAATTTGAAAAGAATGAAAAAATGAAAAGACAAGAAATGGAGGGTTAAGGCATGGCATGGTATGGTATGGTATATGGTATATACCATGTATTGTATCAATCAAAATGACAAGGGTATGGGGAAGGGAATGGGATGGCCGACCATTTAAAGAATTTATTTATTTATTTCTTTTTCTTGGTAAGGAAGAAAGGATGGGAAATGAGAGTAAAAATATCTTTTCAAAAGAGATGAATAAAATAATGAGGTGAAGACAAAAAGAGTTAAAATAAATACAGAAATATAAGAAAGTACGTTAAATTCTCATATAAAATCTCACTACCAAACTGCTATCTTAAATAATAAATTACGAATTCTTCTCATTAAAATATTTATACTTAAAAAATACGGGATTTTACAAACTATGTTGTTGACCATCTTATTTTTCATAGAGTGATGACATATAACATGGTGATTGTAGCATTACTTGTTTGGGTTTACTAGAAAATGAGTTTCTTGAGAACTCTTTTTGTCTCTGTTGCTTCTGCCAGTGACCAATCTTGTGAATTGTTCAATAGTCCTCAAGGATCAAGCAACGCTGTCAGCAATGGTGATACTTTTGGAACTGGAATCAAATTAAAGACTTGCCTAACTCGTAATCAACCTAGTTCCAAAAGCCTGAGGCAGCAAGGAAATGCACCGAGAAAAGTATTCCGGCTGAAGAAGAAACTTCAAGTTCCATCGTTTTACCGCAGCAATTTTAGAGATCTGAGCTACAAGGAACAAAACCATGAAGCAGAATTAGTAGTGGCGAAGGTGAGAAGTTTGTCAGTGAAGCTCGTGTACAGATTGTAATAATGCCTCTTCATGTATTGTAAACTCCACCTATAAATTGCATTTTTGCAGGCTGAAGAAAAGGAAAGTGTCAGTGCTGATCCAGCTGCTATTGTAGACGAGGGCCAGGATACATCCCTTACTAAGTCCAATAATGTCACAAAGTTGCTCAAGAACCGGCTTGGAATGTGAAATCCAGAAGGGATTTTCCAAGAGGCGGTGACAAAGAGGTTACCTGAGTCTTTGTAGGCTCCTCTAGCATCGCACTCCATTTTCTCATCTAGGCATATACTTGGTGTACTTTTGACTCTAGGTTTACCCATTGTTATTGTGGGTTTATTGAGATATCTTGAGTTTTGAAGTTAATTAGAGAAGAGAGCTTGTTGTGTGTATAATTTTGACCCCCTAGTTAATGTCTTAACGTTTGCAAATCCCAAGTTATTTTAAGACCAAGCCAGGTGTTGTTTAGGAAACTTATAGCCTTGAGCATGACCGAACTAAGTACTTGGATATAACATTGCAAACTGACCTCTAACCGAGCTAGAGGTCTAGTGTTAGCCCTTCTGCTCGACCGAACTAAAATCTCCCGTTTCCCTTATGTGACCGAGCTAAGCTTTTACAATTCTTTTTGCAAATTGACTCTTTACTTAGTTCGGTCCAGTTGTCTGGGCATAATACTTCTTATTTCCACTTTGCAGACTTGACTAGGTTGGCCAGGCACACCCTTGCACCTTGCCCCTAGGCAACTTTGCTCAACCGAGCCAACCAAAGCCTCAGTCGCGCCGAGCTAGGCTTAAATTTATTTACAACTTAAGTTAAATGGATAAATATCGGTTCCTGGTGGACTCACCTGGGGCGATAGCCGAGTTCCGAAAGGACTATCACATTCCTGATGATGTACTCTCTCATTAGCCGAACTAGATACCACGCCCTGGGAAAAATCGAGCTTTGTTCCCTTTACTGTAATATCCATTGTAGAAGTCGGTCTTCGATTTCCCGTTCAGCCTCTTCTTTGTGAATTCCTTAGGCAGACAAGACTCTGCCCCACCCAACTTTCCAAAAATTCATATAGAATAATAAACTGTATCGCCGAACTAAACCGCCGGCTTGGCCTCAACCTCGGTTTGGCCGAGCTATTCCATCAATACTCACTTGACCGGAATGAGAACAGCTGGGTGTATTATTTAAGAATAAGAAGTCGCCGAAAGAAAATAATGAAAAATACACCAGACAAAGACGTGAATGATGATGACTTCTTTTGGGTTTCTGGCAATTTTGAAGACCAGGAAGCCCAAATACCGGGCTACAGTATTAACTGGAATAAAGGAATAGGCGGTATGAATACCTCGGCTTAGTTTATCTGTTTTTTACTCTTGTTGTTTATAACTTTTACACCGCGCTAACCGTTGTCTTTCTCCTTATGCAGACTTGAACCAGCTAAAGTCACAATACCAATACCCCAACCTAGACGCTCTCCGCGCCGCGCTTCGATACCGTCAACGAGGTTGGGCCGAACTACTTAACTTCGAACCGATCTATAGATATCGCGGAAGGAGGAAGACCAGGGTGACAGACTTTCTTCTCAAGCCATTACCTGAACCAGATCCCACACTTCCCCAAATTAAGCTGATCCCGCTAACAGAGGAACAAGAAATGGCAAAGAAAAGAGCCATGCGAGTGCTCATCACCGAGCAAACCACTGGTGAAGCTCAAACCGGGCTAGAGCAATCTGGCCAGCCTTGTGATACCGTGGTGGCTCTTCTAACCGCAAGGCCCTCTACATTTCGGCCAAGCAAACGTGCACGAATCGCTTCAGCCGAGCCGCAATGACTGGTTGATGGGGACATCGTGCTTCCTGATACCACAATACCGAGCCTTGAGCCCGTGCATTCCAACCAAGCTAGCCCTTCGGAGTGGGCTCCAAAAATGACTTACAAGAACTGCGCTATATCGAACACCGACTCGATGGTTGCAGACAAGGACCACACGCTTGCCTTCAACCTCGCCAAGAGCGTATGTCTGCCAGCTGACATGGAGCACCATGACCACCTGATCGAGCTGAAGGCCATCCGCTCAGCAACTAACTCGATGGTGCTGGTTAGTGCTTCATTTGTTCATTTTTTCCAATTCGCACATCTGTTTGCTCGGTTTCAATCATAATTTTTATCTCTCCTTTTGCAGGCCATACAGAAGAATCACGTTGCTCACAAGCGCGTGCTAGAGCTGCATAAGACAGCACGGCTGGCTGTTGCAGACACCAATACCAAAACGGCTGAGTTGAATAAGGCCAGGCAAAAAATGACCGAGCTCGAATCTGAAGTCGCCTGACTCACCGAGTTGGTCAACTCGGCAGAAGCGGATAAGCAGAAAGCCCTAACTGAAAGAAAAGACCGCTATCTGTGCAAGTTGGCCAAGCTTGAGAAGAAGCATGCAGAGATTGCCAAACTGAATAAGAAGATGGAGGATGCTGAAGACTGTGGCTATAAAGAAGGGGAGGCCACCTATGCCTTGCAGTGTGAAGCTGCAAAGGACATATTTTTCAAATATGGATGGAAGGCGGTCGTATCAAAGCCCGACTTTGGTCAAGAAATCAAGGTCTTCCAAAACCCTCCTCCCCACTTTATTCCAAGTTATATGGCAGACTATGCCAATGCCATTCAAGAGAAGTTACTTCAAGAGGGAGAGGAGGAAGAATCCCCAGAACCAAACAATGCCCCAATTGTTACCATGGACCACGGTTGCCAAACTGTTCTGTCAGCTCGGGTGGAGCCACCGGTGCCAAGTATGGTTCATGACGCGCCTATGACCGACCTACCTACTGAGACCGGGCTACCGAGTGGTGAAGCTCGGGTTGATCTGGATGTAGATTTGGATGACCTATTTGCCTGACCTTGTTTTTCTTCTTTTACTCTTGAAAGAATTTGTAGCCGGGCTCAAGCCCCTCCTCTTGTAGTGGATCTTTTTCTTATGGAATGAAAACTTCAATTTTCTAGTCTTTTTGCTCGGTTCACTCCATACTTGTATTTATTTTCAGACCGAGATATTCATTTCAGTTAAAGTACTCTATAATCAATTTACTTTGTGTTGGCCATACCTGCCAACTTTCTTCAGCCTAGATCCTGATCTCGGCTGAAGAGAGCTAAGTGTTGGTTATTCCTGCCAACCTTCTTTAACCTAGATCCTGATCTCGGCTGAAGAGAGCTAAGTGTTGGTTATTCCTGCCAACCTTCTTCAGCCTAGATCCTGATCTCGGTTGAAGAGAGCTCGATGTTTGGTTATTCCTGCCAACCTTCTTTAGCCTAGATCTTGATCTCGGCTAAAGAGAGCTAAGTGTTGGTTATTCCTGCCAACCTTCTTCAGCTTAGATCCTGATCTTGGCTGAAGAGAGCTCGATGTTTGGTTAGTCCTGCCAAACTTTCTGATTGTCCCTTGCTGGCAATGATTGAGAACAACTTTTACAGTAGAAAGACTTATGCTGAAAAACTACTTGTTTTATTTTTAAAAAAGGGAAAAAATTACAAATATTCTAAGAATAAGCTAAAAAATAAAATAACTTGAGATTGACAGTGTTCCATGGCCTGAGAATAGCCTTGCTGTCTCTATCCTCCAAGTGATATGCCTTTTTTCCTGCTAAACCAACCATTTTGTATGATCCTTTCCAGTTACGTCCTAACTTGCCATCTCTGGGTACCAAAGTGTTGCACATTATTTTGCGTAATACCCAATTCCCAATTTTGAATTGCCTCGGATGCACTGTTTTGTTATATTTTTTGGATAACTCCTATTGGTATGAGGCAATGTGAACTAGAGCTTTTTCCCTTCTCTCCTCTACAAGGTCGAGTTCCAAGGTTATGGCTTCTTCATTCAAGTCTGGGTTAAAATTTTCACTTCTAATAGTGGGGAGGCCTATCCAGTGGGATTACTGCCTCCATGCCATAGGCCAAAGAAAAAAGGCGTTTCACCAGTTGATCGCTGAGGTGTGGTACGGTAAGCCCATAAAACATGAGGAAGCTCCTCAGCCCACTTGCCTTTTGCTCTTTTCAACCTTTTCTTTAAGCCATCTAAGACGACTTTGTTTGAAGCTTCTGCCTGGCCATTTGCTTGAGAGTATGCTGGTGTAGAGTTATTGAATTCTATCTTGTATTCCTCGTAAAAGCCCCTGAAGATTTTGCCATCGAACTGAGTGCCATTGTCAGATATTAGAGCCTTGGGTATGCCGAATCGAGTTATGATATTCTTCCAGACGAACTTCTTTACATCTTTCTCCCTTATTGATGCGAGTGCTTCAGCCTCCACCCACTTTGTGAAGTAGTCTGTTGTTGTGAGAAAGAACTTTCTGTTGCAGGGTGCTATTGGAAGTGGTCCCATTATGTCTAGGCCCCACATTGCGAAGGGCCATGGGCTAGTTAATGGTAGAAGCTCTCTGGCAGGTTGGTGTATCTGGTGTGCGAACTTCTAACATTTCTCGCACCTCTTGACATATTTCTCAGAATTTGCTTGCATATATGGCCACCAATATCCTTGTGAGATTGCTCTGTAAGCCAATGATCTTCCCCCTTGGTGGCTTCCGCATACGCCTTCATGTATCTCGAACAAAAATGCCTTGACCTTGCTAGGATGGACACATTTCAAGTAAGGTCCTGTGAAGGATTTTTTGTATAACGCTAATGATGGAGAGAGCCAAAATCACTGTGACTTTGCTCTTATTTTGTTGGCCTCTTTCTCCTCTTCAGGTACGATGCTGTCTTTTAAAAATACTATAATGGGATCCATCCATGAAGGGCCTAGTTTGACACTATGACAACCCTCACCTCTGATTAGTGCTAATCCGTGATTAAGCAAGATAAGTAACTGATTAGAATGAAATTCTGATCTGTTTGTATGAGTGTGTTGCATTAGTTGCATTTCTATCTGTTTGTCATTAAATGATCTGTTCATGTTTTAATTTCGAACTGCGAATTGAAGGTCTTATCGGCGACCAAATTAGAAATTAATTAGTATTTTATGCTAATTAAGATTTATGTGATTTTATGGTAGGTTTAATGAAAATTTGATTTGGAATGATTAAATTGGATTAAATAATGTTAAATCACATTAGTTCAAGTAAATTACATGTTTGCCATTGAGTGGCTAATTCTACACCATTGTTTAGTCTTGATTCATAAGTTTGGCACTATCACTTTGTTGCATCACCTCATCCATTTCCTCCAGACCAAAACCGTGAGAGAGAGTAAGTTGGGAGAATTTGTGTTTAACAAGAAATTGGCTTGGAGACTTAGAAGAATTGAAGGGAATTTGCATATTTGGGCTTCCATACCTAGAATCTAAGACCTAAGGTAGGAATTCATCTTCTTACTTGTGAATTTAAGTTGTTTCATGCTTAGTTCATGGAAATTTGGAGTTTAAAGTCAAGAATTAA